GTGAGAGTCGAGGTACCTCATTTTCTTCCACGTGTGTGAGGAGGTTCTTTAGGGGGGCTAATTCCATCATGGTGTATTCATTAAACCTATTCAACATTTTTAAGCACCTGATATCCTTGCTCTTAATAGTAATTTTTGTCCAAGGGCATTTAGACAATTAATGAAAGATAAGCTAGAAATTTCTTGTGGAAACGAATGCATTTATTAACTATTTTGTGAAGCGACAATAGCCATATTGGATGCAATATCTTCTACATGGGCTGTAACATCACCCACATGACGCATGCTCTACAACCATTAACAAAAGGTCATTTTTACAATTCAAAATTATGTATTTTACCCCACTAGAGACCTAAAAAAACCCTTATTCAAAAGGTTTCTTTCGTAAAAGCAAAGGTAATGAGTGTCTACTGACTATTAAGTACGTAAAGGAATACTTTGACATGGATGAAACAAGGGTACTGGTACACATGGAGTATTTACTTAATGCACACGATTTTCATTGGACATTTATTTCCCTTGCTTAATAATACAAAATTTTTCAAGCAAGAGCATTCTTAGTTATTAAGAAAGGTAGAATATATATTTATATTAGAAAGTAGTGGTACTCTATTAGATATTAAAAAATAATTAATGCTCAATGTGGGTAATATCACACCTCATGTGGATGATATCATTCTCCATTATAGTTAATAGAAGTTTTTCCTTCCATCAAGAAATTTTATTCCAAACTTGATAAATTACCTAAAATACCCCTAGACAAAAAGTTAGGGGGATAACAATATCAAGTGTCCAAAATAGAGAAATTTACGAACAGACCATATTGGTAGGGGGGGTACTTACAAAATGGGATCATGTTTGTCCCAAATTACGAGCAACACGCTTGCCCTCATGGCGTTTTTGTCCCCAAGTTACTCCCCTGTCCGGTAACGCGAACACCGGACAGGTGGGGTTTATATCATACAAAGAAAAACAGATGTTCAGTATTTGAAATACCAAATAGTTATCCACTATCCCCAAAACCATCAAGCCCTCTCTCTCTCTCCAATCGTCGTGACTCTATATTTATTTAAAAATAATCTCTCTCTCTCTCTCTCTCTCTCATAACCCATCTCTCCCCCCTAACCTTACAATAGAAACTCAAAAGGCCATCTCTCTCCCCTAACCTTACAATAGAAACTCATAAGGCCTTAGAAACTCAGAAGGCCATCACCCAGAACGCGAAGTAAGAAAGGACCCCAACACCACTGAAATTTCAGTTGATTTCGTTTCAAAAGCTCCAAAGCCCATCATCCAAACAAAGAGAAGAAGACAACAAGGACCCCAACGTAGATCACAATCCTAAACCCACCGAAACTTCAATTTCGTTTCAAAATCCCATAACCCCATCCCAAAGGAGAACACAAGGATCCAACAAAGTAGACCACACCAAAATCTCAACTGATTTCATTTCACCACCTCCTGGCCTTGTAGAACTCATCCTCGAAGCGTCTGAAAAATTTTCAGCTAAATTCGTTTATCCACAGGAATATCGGCTGATTTCGTTTTAGCTTCCCTTGGCCTTGTATAACTAAGCTCCAAAACCCAACAAAATTTCAGTAGATTTCATTTAGGGAGAAGAAGAGATATGCGCCTAGTGTTTGTGTGCAATGCGGAGGAGCACGTAGTGGGCAAGCATGTGGCCCCTAGGAATTGCCCTTACTGTAGCGAGACAATGCAGGCCACTGATGTGGAGAGCTCTTGGAGGTTTTATAAAAGCCTTCTGAGTTTCTATTATAAGGTTAGGGGAGAGAGATGGGTTATGGGAGAGAGAAAGAAAGAGAGAGATGGTTTGGGGGGAGAGAGTGTAAGAGAGAAGGGTCCAGAATGATTATTTTAAAAAAAATGTAGAGTCAATATATTTGGAGAGGGATAGCGCTTGCTGGTTTTGGGGATAACAAATAGTTGTCCGGTATTTCAAACACCGGACAGCTGTTTTTCTTTGCACAATATAAACCCCACCTGTCAAGTGTTTGCATTATCGAATAGGGGGGTAACTTGGGGGTAAAAAGACGTCGTGAGGTGGAGGCGCAGCCTGTAATTTGGGACAAACGTGATCCCATTTTGTAATTGATCCCCCCCCAATATGATCTGTACATAAATTTCTCCCAAAAATATTGAGTACACTTTTTTGTCTGGGGGTTATTTTTGGCAATTACCATGAATAAAGTAGAATTTATTGATAGAAAGTAAATCATTTATTAATGTAATATAAAATGATATCATCCACATGAGGTGTGACATCACCCACAAAGAGCATTAATTGTTTTCTAACCACTAATAGAATATCTTTAATTTCTAATAAAACTATCTATTCTAACCTTCTTAATAACAAAATATATATTGCTCAAAACATTTTGCATTATAAAACAAGGGTAATGATTTTTCAGATTCAAAAAAGAAGAAAAGCAAAGGTTATGATTTTGTTAAGGTACTCCTACACATGGAGTATTTCTTTAATGTACTCGACGCTTTATTAAGGCAACTCTTACAAATGGAGTCTTTCCTTAACGTACTCAACACATTGAACACTCATTACCCTTACTTTTCAAAAAAAAAAAAGCAAAGGTAACAATTTTCTTAAGGTACTCCTAGACATGGAGTATTTCCTTAATGTACTTGACGTTTTATTAAGGTACTCCTACAAATGGAGCATTTCCTTAACATACTTGACATCCATTGAACACTCATTACCCTTGCTTTGTAATGCAAAATTTTTTGAAGAAGGGCATTTTTTATCATTAAGAGGCATAGAATAGACATTCCTATTAAAAACTAGTAGCACTCTATTAAGTTGTTAAAAAACAATTAATGCTCCATGTGATTATGTCTCACCTCATGTGGATAATGTCAATATCTATTATAATTAATAAATATTTTTCTTTCTATCAAGAAATTCTATTCTACCCTTGATTAATTACCTAAAATACCCCTAGATATTGCTACATTATGGGGTAATGGAATCAGGTGTCTA